CCCGCTGGCGCCCCCGCATTGGCCGCTGCGAATGGTGTTGGCTGCTGCGCCGCGAGAGCGGCGGCTGTACTCATGGGGGAGCCGCGGCCCCCTCGCCCGCCTCGCGCGCCCCCCCTCCCCCAATACTGTGTTTGCAACGTCCGGGGCAGCACTGCGCGGCCAGAAAACAAAAGAGGCCCCGGAGCACTTGCAAACAGCACCCTCCTCGCCAGACGGCTGCGGCCGGGCGCAGACAATTGGCGGCGCCCTTGCAAAGCCGTCTTCCCTCTGCCGCGCGGCATTGCCGCCCCACCAGGCTCACCGAGCCCACTGTCGCCGACGCGCCACCGGCCGAGTTGCATATGAGCCTCTCTACTCCCTGCATGACAGTGTGTAATGCTACTCTTTGTACCCTTGAATAAATTTGGAGTCACTTGGGCAGGTGGTACGGCATGCAGCAGACAGTTACAATGGCAGGTGCCGCCCAACCACAACCTGCGAAGCAGAGCCTACTTGGGCGTTGTTCGTTGCCTGTAGGCCCCGCCTGGATTTTCAGATGCAGCTTTGTAAAATGTAAAGCTTTGTAAGTATGACACAACATTTACAAGGTGCACAGGCCGTGGGCGGCACCGCTGATGTGGCAGGCCACCCCTGCTGCCCGTGCGGGGCCCCAACCCACGCCCTGGAGGGTTGAGCCGAAGGTGCCTTGACACCGGCCCCGCAATCGCCACGGGCGCGGCACATCGGTCAGGAGTGTACGGGGCGGTACAGCCACCAAAGCTCATAGCCATAGTGCATCCGGCTGATATCATACTGCACTGCGTGCACACGCAGTGATGGGCAACGTGCCGGTATGTTTGCGTGACAAGCCTTCCCGCAGCCCGTCCTTGCAAGCCGCCTCCAGGGCGGGTGCACGTGCCTCAACCAAGTCCAGGGGTGGGGGCGCCTGACGGTGGCCGATCTGCGCGTATCCCAACCAGTTGGATGTCAGACCCGGCTGCTGCCAACGACTCATGGCTGGATGACGTCATCGCTTGATCCTGGCCACGGCGCTGGGCATGGGCAGCGCCCATTTGTAAGTGCCTGGCGGCCCCGAAAGCATCTCCCGCTGCGCGGCAGAGAAATCAAGGGAATGGGGGGGACATAAGCCGGGGAGGAGGACAAGGAGCGTGCGCACGTCGAAAGCTGACAGCAAGGGAGGGGCGGCTACTAAGGGCCTGCGGCGGGCTGGCCCGGGGGGACTGGTGGGGTGTGGCCTGGTCTGGCTCGACGTGGGGGGTGCCAGGGCTTGCGCGGCAGTCGCTGCTGCAAGCCGCAGCTGGACACAGGGGGCATGTGTGCGTCTCACCGGCTCCCAGGAGTTCCAGGCATCAGAAAAGTACCACCTGCGGGTGGCGGCCGCGTGTTTTGAGGCACAGTGTGGAGTGATTGTGGTGGCAGGGTGGGGGCGGGGGCGAGGCAACGCAGGGGCAGGGCGCACCTGGGCCGGCTCCAGGGGCCGGGACGAGGTGCGCTGCATGGTGTGGTGTGTTGTGCTGTTGGACAGGCGCTGTTCCGGGACGTCCCTAAGGATTGGATCCGCCCGTCGTAGGCATTCAGACCGCTGCAGAGACGGAGGGTGTGCAGGCGAGGGCGTGCTCAACACGGTGGCGCCCCACCACCCACCAGTGCACGAGGAACTCCCTCTTGCGGGTCTTGCGGCACAGGCGGTGGCCCTTGATGCACCTGGGATGGCCGGGGGGGGGGGGGGGGTGGGGGTGGGCAGCAGCATTGAGGGTTGTCGATGACTGGGCAGGCTGACTTGCAGCAAGGGGGCGCTTAGCTGGCCGTGCGCGGGAGTCCTGTGGCACCATGCTCCGTCATAACGCCAACGGCGCCGGCGACGTCAGGCTGTCAGATACCAACCACAAGCAGCCAACCACCCTGTTTCCCTGCACGCATGCATGCTCACACACTTAGGCATGTAAATACACACACAATAACACAGTCGCACCTGACCCAGAACTCTTTGTCGTGGGCCTCCCGCCGATGCTCCTCCGCCGTCTTCTTGGGCT